GGTGTATATCTTGTATTCTACCATGACTTCAGTAAACACTGGATTGTGATTGGTTAATTAAAGTCATTCAGAGGTATATAGTCGCGTTATACAGGTGTCTGTTTTCCGTGCGCAATCATACATGGTTTACGGTAATGCACTATTTTTGTCTGCCCACTACCATGCCATTTTAATGCCTTCCGTCCACATAAATAAACAGTTGGGTTATCAATTCAAACAAAATGATATTTTGAAATTTGTACTGTTTCAAATTTAGCGGTAGTAAAACACAATTAGATCTACAGAATCTGCAAACCGTTCTGTTTAGCCCAACATATTCTTTTTTTTCTAAATGTATAATCGTTGAAAAAGTTATTTAGCTTACCCATGATCCCTCTTATCCATTACACTGCTTGATCTAAAGTAGTCTATTAAAGTATAATTAATTACCTTACCGTGTTTATGCCAGAGGCACACCCTCGTGTCCTGATCCACCCTTTCGGAAATATCATCACAAATCTGGTTCTTTGTCAACAGACTCGCGAACATGCCAGCGAATCCAATTCAATTTGAATTCACTACACTTTGAAGCCACTAGGTCACAAAACACTTTCCAAAATGTAGAAAATGATATCCGTAGAATCGAATTTGAGCACAAAGTACACACATGAGTGTGTAAGAGTCACTACAGCTGTCGCACGCAGACGCAGAGGTGCGTGAAATCGTCAAGTTGACAGGGCGCAAAATTCAACAGTATCTAAATTCGGTACAACACGGACTTCTCGTTACAGCAAAAGCGCCCCTACTCTTAAATTTTGTACCAGTACCAGTAATTAGATATCAAAGACTATCTCAGTCATACAATTAGGTTAACCTTGCGGAAACTGTCAGAGGCTCGCCTGTCGCATCTTTCCAAATTTGCACGTAAATGTAAACAATGACTTCGAGAAAAGGTCAAGGCCATGAGGTTGCTACCACTATTCTGGTGGGGAAAAGGTCTACGGTGGAATTTTCAAATGTGAACCAAGCTTTTTAAACTTATTTGATATATGTTTTCCAACTTATCAGTTAATGATTGGTGATTGATGCATTGAAAAAACAAAACGTGATTTGTTATTACTGGATCTGGAGTTTGTTAGTAATTGACGGCTTGCCACCAAACACCCCGTTTCGGGCGATGCCACTTGAGATTGGAATGCGAGGCCGCTTCACGTATTGACTCGTAACCAAAGAAAGAGCTCCACCTGAAATTGTTCATAAAATTGTCATGGTAGAATGGAGATAAACCTACTGTGTGGGAAAATCAGAGGTATATAACGAAATTATAATAGCTCTAAATTGTTCATTTAAAACCTCACGCTACGCTTTCGGTTTTCAATGAAATTTAGAGCTATTATAATTTCGTTATATACCTCTGATTTTCCCACACAGTAGGTTTATCTCCTAACTGACGTTGTGTATTGTAACGCGGTGACACTCAGGTATAGCGTGTGTGTCTGTATTAAACACTGATTGTATAGGGGTGAATTTCTTTAACTGATAGCAAAAACAGGCCTTTTGATTGATTCATCAGTGTCACACGATTGACTGTATAGCTTTGTCCTAGAAATTGGCATTTTGAACATTAATTAATAGTTTTAAAGTTGTGCAAGTTGTGAGATACCTCACTTGTCTTGATATCTTCGAGTTATAACAGACTGGTGCCAAGTTCGAGATACCGGGATGTATGTCAGTAAAATTGATTGTGCACCGCGTTTCACAATATCCTAGCAACGTCAGCCCATGACGCAATACACGAGCTTAAGTGATATACCCCGAGGGAATATTTTGTCCTGACGAACTGACTCTAAAACTAGGTTACGCCATTCACTTTTTTATATTTGAAGTTTATAGTCTCTAGAGATGAGAAAAGTATCAGTGCCTCCGTTGACAAAGCACTAAGGTGATCGAGAGTCACAAAGGTTACCTTAGTGCAATTTTAAAGAAAGGGAGTCAAGGTTAACCTTAGCAAAGGTTGCTTCGTGAAAGGAGGCCCAGGTCATCTTAACACGAATGCGGTTGTAATTGTGCTCCATGAACACACAATCCCGAGGTAAACCGACATTACTACAGGCGCGCTCGCACAGGTGAGGTGGGGCAATAGGAGGTTGAAGTCGTCTTCCAGATGATTTGCATCTATACAGAATACGTGCATGTCTGTTTCATTGTGATTGCCCTAGGAAATACCATGCTGCAGTTTAACATGGACCCCTGAATCTGGCAGTACTTCTTCCTGTTATTAATGCTGAGCGTCAGAAAGCCTAACCACGTGTGCTATCCTTACAACGTCTGTTGGTAAGAGGCAATGGAATTGTACAACTGGTCTTCCTTGTATATCACTAATGGAATTGTACAACTGGTCTTCCTTGTATATCACTAATGGAATTGTACAACTGGTCTTTCTTGTATATCACTAATGGAATTGTACAACTGGTCTTTCTTGCATATCACTAATGGAATTGTACAACTGGTCTTCCTTGTATATATCAGATGGAATTGTACAACTGGCCTTCCTTGTATATATTTGATGGAATTGTACTACTGGTCTTCCTTCTATATATCTGATGGAATTGTACAACTGGTCTTCCTTCTATATATCTGATGGAATTGTAAAACTGGCCTTCCTTGTATGTATCTGATGGAATTGTACAACTGGCCTTCCTTGTATATATCACTAATGGAATTGTACAACTGGACTTCCTTGTATATATCTGATGGAATTGTACAACTGGTCTTCTGTGTCTATATCTGATGGAATTGTACAACTGGTCTTCCTTCTATATATCTGATTGAATTGTACAACTGGTCTTCTTTGTATATATCTGATGGAATTGTACAACTGGCCTTCATTCTATGTATCAGATGGAATTGTACAACTGTCCTTCCTTCTATATATCTGGTGGAATTGTACAACTGGCCTTCCTTCTATATATCTGATGGAATTGTACAACTGGCCTTCCTTCTATGTATCTGATGGAATTGTACAACTGGTCTTCCTTGTATATATCTGATGGAATTGTATAACTGGTCTTCCTTGTATGTATCTGATGGCATTGTACAACTGGTCTTCCTTCTATATATCTGATGGAATTGTACAACTGGTCTTCATTCTATGTATCTGATGGAATTGTACAACTGGCCTTTCTTCTGTGTATCTGATGGAATTGTACAACTGTCCTTCCTTCTATATATCTGGTGGAATTGTACAACTGGCCTTCCTTCTATGTATCTGATGGAATTGTACAACTGGTCTTCCTTGTATATATCTGATGGAATTGTATAACTGGTCTTCCTTGTATGTATCTGATGGAATTGTACAACTGGTCCTCCTTCTATGTATCTGATGGAATTGTACAACTGGTCTTCTGTGTCTATATCTGATGGAATTGTATAACTGGTCTTCCTTGTATGTATCAGATGGAATTGTACAACTGTCCTTCCTTCTATATATCTAGTGGAATTGTACAACTGGCCTTCCTTCTATGTATCTGATGGAATTGTATAACTGGTCTTCCTTGTATATATCTGATGGTATTGTACAACTGGCCTTCCTTCTATGTATCTGATGGAATTGTACAACTGGTCTTCCTTCTATGTATCTGATGGAATTGTACAACTGGCCTTTCTTCTGTGTATCTGATGGAATTGTACAACTGTCCTTCCTTCTATATATCTGATGGAATTGTACAACTGGCCTTCCTTCTATGTATCTGATGGAATTGTACAACTGGTCTTCCTTCTATATATCTGATGGAATTGTATAACTGGTCTTCCTTGTATGTATCTGATGGAATTGTACAACTGGTCTTCCTTCTATGTATCTGATGGAATTGTACAACTGGTCTTCCTTCTATATATCTGATTGAATTGTAAAACTGGTCTTCCTTCTATATATCTGATGGAATTGTACAACTGGTCTTCTGTGTCTATATCTGATGGAATTGTACAACTGGTCTTCCATCTATATATCTGATTGAATTGTACAACTGGTCTTCTTTGTATGTATCTGATGGAATTGTACAACTGGTCTTCCTTGTATATATCTGATGGAATTGTACAACTGGCCTTCATTCTATGTATCAGATGGAATTGTACAACTGTCCTTCCTTCTATATATCTGGTGGAATTGTACAACTGGCCTTCCTTCTACGTATCTGATGGGTTTGTACAACTGGTCTTCCTTGTATATATCTAATGGAATTGTATAACTGGTCTTCCTTGTATGTATCTGATGGCATTGTACAACTGGTCTTCCTTCTATGTATCTGATGGAATTGTACAACTGGTCTTCCTTCTATGTATCTGATGGAATTGTACAACTGGCCTTTCTTCTGTGTATCTGATGGAATTGTACAACTGTCCTTCCTTCTATATATCTGGTGGAATTGTACAACTGTCCTTCCTTCTATGTATCTGATGGAATTGTACAACTGGTCTTCCTTGTATATATCTGATGGAATTGTATAACTGGTCTTCCTTGTATGTATCTGATGGAATTGTACAACTGGTCTTCCTTCTATGTATCTGATGGAATTGTACAACTGGCCTTCCTTCTAAGTATCTGATGGAACTGTACAACTGGCCTTCCTTCAGTTGTTTGTTACGAATGGAGCAGTACAGCTGGTCTTTCTTCTTGTATACTGTACAAAGCATAGTCAGGGATATATGTAAATTTTGAAATTATGAATAATGGTATATTTATTCATTTCAACTCTCATAAAATATCAATCATAAAAATACCAATATCCCTAACTTATTTTGTCCAGTATATATTACTGATGGAATTGTATAGCTGGTCTTTCTTGTATATTACTGATGGAATTGTACAGGTGGTCTTTCTTGTATGTTACTGTTGGAATTGTACAACTGGTCTTTCTTGTATATTACTGATGGAACTGTACACCTGGACTTTGTTGAATACAAATGAATAATTCTCCTTATCTAACTACAAGCTTACACACTTCATAATGTATTTATTTCAGACTAAGATATGACCAGCGATGTTGTTACTGGCGGCTCCACGGCCAAGAGGAAGATTGCGTTTGCTTTGTTCCTGATCGTGAGTCTGGCTGTATCACTTACTGTGGGGATCGTCCTATATTTCGACAAGGACAAGAACAACGCAAAACCATTGGAGTACGTGCTTTGAACTCAGTTACTTTTTCTAGCGACCCCTCCGTGGTCCTTCCAATATATTCTTTCCCTCCTCTGTTTTCGTCCCATTTTACACCCCCCACACCTGTCTCCGTCCCATTTCGACCCCCTCCTCTGTCTCTCATTCACTCCCTTGGATCTTCCCGGTAACGATGATTTCTGCAATGTGTGTATTTCGCTGGTCAGTTTCAGGCTAGGCAAGCGTTCTGATGTCATCGTTGATTGTCATCCAGAGTCTGACGGTACAGAGGAGAAGTGCAAGGAAAGAGGGTATGTAGAATGGAGAGGTGCAACTAAAGGGATGTATTCAGATAGGAGAATGACAAGTAAACTGGGCATAAAGATAGGAGAATTGCAAGGAAAAATTTATGTAGAATGGATAAGTGCAACTAAAGGGGGATATTTAGATAGAATAATTGCAAGGAATGGGGTATGTATAATGGAGAAATGCAGCTAAAGGGTGATATATAGATAGGATAATTGCAAGGAATGGGGTATGTCTAATGGAGAAATGCAGCTAAAAGGTGATATACAGATAGGATAATTGCAAGGAATGGGGTATGTAGAATGGAGAAATGCAGCTGAAGGGTGATATATAGATAGGATAATTGCTAGGAATGGGGTATGTATAATGGAGAAATGCAACTAAAAGGTGATATATAGATAGGATAATTGCAAGGAATGGGGTATGTAGAATGGAAAAATGCAGCTGAAGGGTGATATATAGATAGCATAATTGCAAGGAATGGGGTATGCAGAATGGAGAAATGCAACTAAAGGGTGATTTATAGATGGGATAATATCAAGGAATGGGGTATGTAGAATGGAGAAATGCAACTAAAAGGTGATATATAGATAGAATAATTGCTAGGAATGGGGTATGTAGAATGGAGAAATGCAGCTGAAGGGTGATATATAGATAGGATAACTGCAAGGAATGGGGTATGTCTAATGGAGAAATGCAACTAAAAGGTGATATATAGATAGGATAATTGCAAGGAATGGGGTATGTAGAATGGAGAAATGCAGCTGAAGGGTGATATATAGATAGGATAATTGCAAGGAATGGGGTATGTAGAATGGAGAAATGCAGCTAAAAGGTGATATACAGATAGAATAATTGCAAGGAATGGGGTATGCAGAATGGAGAAAAGCAACTAAAGGGTGATATATAGATAGGATAACTGCAAGGAATGGGGTATGTAGAATGGAGAAATGCAACTAAAAGGTGATATATAGATAGGATAACTGCAAGGAATGGGGTATGTATAATGGAGAAACTCAACTAAAAGGTGATATATAGATAGGATAACTGCAAGGAATGGGGAATTTAGAATGGAACAATGCAACTAAAAGGTGATATATCGATAGGATAATTGCTAGGAATGGGGTATTTAGAATGGAGAAACGCAACTAAAAGGTGATATATAGATAAGATAATATCGAGGAATTGGGTATTTAGAATGGAGAAATGCAACTAAAAAGTGATATATAGATAGGATAACTGCAAGGAATAGGGTATGTACAATGAAGAAATGCAACTAAAAGGTGATATATAGATAGGATAACTACAAGGAATGGGGTATGTATAATGGAGAAATGCAACTAAAAGGTGATATATAGATAGGATAATTGCAAGGAATGGGGTATGTACAATGGAGAAATGCAACTAAAAGGTGATATATAGATAGGATAATTGCAAGGAATGGGGTATGTAGAATGGAGAAATGCAACTTAAAAGGTGATATATAGATAGGATAACTGCAAGGAATGGGGTATGTAGAATGGAGAAATGCAACTAAAAGGTGATATATAGATAGGATAACTGCAAGAAATGGGGTATGTATAATGGAGAAATGCAACTAAAAGGTGATATATAGATAGGATAACTGCAAGAAATGGGGTATGTATAATGGAGAAATGCAACTAAAAGGTGATATATAGATAGGATAACTGCAAGGAATGGGGTATGTATAATGGAGAAATGCAGCTAAAGGGTGATATATAGATAGGATAATTGCTAGGAATGGGGTATGTATAATTGAGAAATGCAACTAAAGGGTGATATATAGACAGATAGGATAATAGCAAGGAATGGGTTATGTTAGGAGTAGAAATGCAATAAAAGAGGGTATGTGGAGAGGAAAAGTGCAAAGAAAGTTGGGTATGTGGAAAGAAGAAGCGTAAGGAATAGGGCGTATGTAGACATTAAAACTAGACGGAAAGGGTGTATGTTGAAAGAAGTGCATGGAAAAAGGGGGTATGTGGTTTGATTTCTTAGTAAGAATCTCATCATTCTACACAATCTTCAAAGGGAATATTAAGAATTACATTAAACACAAAACAGACTATGTCAATGAAATGATGTATACCTGTATGCATGCATATATCTGTAAATTACAGTAATCACTTTCTGAAACACACTAAACATTCATATTAGAGGGTGACCGGCTATATTAAAGGTAGATGATGGGATGTTTGATGATATATTCTCAGCAAAATCATAAGATTACTGGGAGAAAATTGCTTTATTCATCGATAAAGACACGTAATTAAACTGAACTCTGCTTTGGCACAGCTGTTTATGGTCTCCGGTATCTGACAAGGGCGCCCCCCTGGTGTAAATTCCCCACCGGATATGGCTATAGAATTGTGGGTAACGTGACGGACACACCGATGGGCATGCGCATTGAACTGGAGCGCACATCTCATCCTCAGTATCTAGTCCGCTCGGCGTCTGTCGATAATATATACCTGGACGTGGAGTTCCATACCGACGCCCGCCTCAGATTAAGGGTACGTTGACGACTTCGTCATGGATACTTCTAGACACGTTACTTTATCAATGGCGTTTGTATCGGATCTTTACAGGCTGTGAATATCGTCAACATTTACACCCACTGGTGATATACATATACTCACGGGAAAAAATAACTATACATAGCATAAAATTGCATAAAGTTTGTAAAATATACATGCAGCAAAGCACTTTGCATGACATTTGATGTCACGCATCATGTATTTACACCGTGTATACTAACTATTTCAGAAGTACACAGGTAAACCAACCATTTCAAAAGTGAGTGAGTGAGTGAGGTTTAGTTTTACGCCGCTTTTAGCAATATTCCAGCAACATCATGGCGGGGGACACCAGAAATGGGCTTCACACATTGTACCCATGTGGGGAATCGAACCTGGGTCTTCGGCGTGACGAGCGAACGCTTTAACCACTAGGCTACCCCACAGCCCCATATTTCAAAAAGTACACCATGTAAACCAAAAGCCATTTCAAAAGTACACCATGTAAACCAACCATTTCAAAAGTACACCATGTAAAACCAACCATTTCAAAAAGTACACCATGTAAACCAACCGTTTCCAGAGTACACCACGTAAACCAACCGTTTCAAATGTTAACCACGTGAACCAACCGTTTCCAGAGTACACCACGTGAACCAACCGTTTCAAGAGTAAAACACGTATACCAACCGTTTCAAGAATAAACAACGTAACCAACCATTTTAAAAGTACCCACGTACAGTCGTACACCCACTACAATTTATGTTCTTGTTCCATTTCACCAGTTCTATCCAAGAACGGCACAAGATGGGAGATACCGGATAGCGTCCTGAATATACCGACTCCCAGCAACAAGGCCAGCGAGACTTCACGGCTGTACGATGTGACCATCGTGGATGCTCCAGTGTTTGGCGTCATCATCACCCGGGTGTCTAACAACCAGACAATGTGAGTCCACCTGGGATATCATGTATACGTTGTTGCTGCTGTGTCATTACGTGTCATACAAACACTGTTATTTTCGACCCTGAAGATCAGGGTCAGAATTTATCTTCAGCAACCCATGCTTGTCGTAAGAAGCGATTAGCAGGATAAGGTGGTCAGGCTCACTGACTTGGTTGACACGTGCCATCGTATCCCAGTTGTCTGTCTGCCTGTGTGTCTGTCTGTTTCCCAGTTGCGTACATCGATAACCATGCTGTTAACCACTGGATTGTATCTTCCAGACTCGATTATTTACAGACCGCTGTCATATAGCTGGAATATTGCTGAGTGCGTCGTAAAACTGAACTCACTCACTCACTGTTTTCGCAACATGTGCCCACTCAATTCTACCATGAATTTGAAACTTATAGATTCCTTTTCTACTCACTCATGGTCGGTAGTAATAGCAAACACTCCGTGTAAACAGTTTACATGTGATTGTAACAGTTCCTCTGCAGCTACAGGGGCGGTGAGGTAGTCTAATGGTTAGAGCGTTGGCTCGTCACGCCGAAGACCCGGGTTCGAATCCCCAGATGGGCACAATGTGTGAAGCCCATTTCTCGTGTCCCCCGCCGTGATGTTGCTGGAATATTGCTAAAAGCGGCGTAAAACCAAACTCAGTCAGTCTGCAGCTACAGGGTAAGGTGCATGTCCCCCGCACTATCCAATGTAAATATGTAAGGCATTGGGGTAGCATAGTGGTTAATGCGTTCGCTCGTTACGATGAGCACCTGGGTTCGATTTGCCATTTCTGGTGTTCCCCGCCGTGATATTACTTAAGTATTGCTAAATGCGGCGTAAAACAACACTCACTCACTCAGTCACTCTTCAGATTCAACACATCCCTGCCAGGGTTCATCTATTCCGACCAGTACCTGCAGCTGACCACGACGCTGGCGTCCGACAACGTGTACGGCTTCGGGGAACACAACCATCGCCAACTCCGCCATGACCTCGCCTGGAAAACGTGGAGCATCTTTACCAGAGATGTGGCGCCCGTTGTAAGTCTTAGCCCCTCCAAGCGTCTGTTGTAGTTTGTCTTACACCTTCAACTGCTAGAGCTCTGAGAATGCTCTGGTTTAATGAGAAGTTTATCTTTACCTCTAACACTTCACCTTGGATGCAGTGAACATCGCTGTTCAATGAGCAATGGCTGTAGGGCGCTGCCATTGCCACCAACATCTCCTACCCTCCTGTTAGGATGAAACGATTTAGTTTTACCACGACCAGTTTATGTCAGTTACAAGTTTAACAGGGTTTTGAAAATTAACATACATTCATTTCATGATGTATAGAGCCTATTAGATGGATATCTGTGCAATGACATAGATGTGCTTATCTTAACTGAAACGTGGCTAAGGCCCACGGGTGATGAAGCTAAGATAGCTGAAATGACACCAGTGTCCCATTCTCTCCTCCACTGCCCTAGACTCGATGCAAGTGGAGGTGGAATCGCAATTCTCTACAGAAAATCCCCTCACTGTTCGTCGTAGTGACTCAGGAAACAGTTCTAAATCCTTTGAGAACATGAATGTTGTGATAACTTCTGGACAGGCTACCTTTAGCCTGGTGTGTATTTACCGACCTCCACCCTCTGCGAAAAACAAACTGAAAAACAATGACTTTCTTCCAGAGTTATCTACCCTCTTCGCAACACACTCCCAAAAACTATACAGTAATTCTTGGCGACTTTAATGTGCACTTCAACACTCGCGAGAAGTCCGAGGTCAAGAAATACATTCAGCTACTGAATACTTATTCCCTTACCCAGCATGTGTCTGTCGCCACACACAAATCTGGCAACATTCTTGACTGGATTATCACACACAGCAGCTGCAATATTATCAAAGATGTCGAAGTCATCGATCGCCAGATGTCTGACCACTTCAATGTCTTCTTTGCAATTGACTTAATTAAGCCAAACAACAAGCATTCAATCTTGATGTGTCGAAACATCAAGAAGATTCAGCCAGATAGTTTCAGACTTGACTTGGTTAATTCAAACCTCCTCACTGATCCTCCCCCTGATGTTGAGGACCATGTTGAGCTCTTCCATGACACCCTCACATCTCTTCTAGACAAACACGCTCCGGCAATTGAGAGAAGAATGTGATACTCCGTCCTCATGCTCCATGGTATGACGAGTCCATTCGTCGCTCTAAGACACAGCGGCGCAGAGCAGAACGTCAGTGGCGTAAGACACGCCTGGAAATTCACAGGCAGATATATCAACAGTGCCGAAATGCTACCACCTCTTTAATCATCTCCGCTAAAAGGAAATATTGTCTTCACAGTATACAGAATAGTATGGGTAAACCTGCTTCCCTTTACAGGTTTATGAATAAACTGCTTGGTAAAGGAGGTGATGGTGATAGAGTACCTCCCGGACAAAGTCACATGGAACTCGCAGACTCCTTCAACTCATTTTTCATTTCAAAGATTGATACCATTCGACAAGGACTTTCAGCCAAGGAAGTTGACAGGTGTTTCAGTGAACCTCTCTTTACAGGCGATCCACTAACACAGTTTGCGCCCTTCACCCCCAAGGACATTGAATCAATTATCCGCTCTTCAAAGCCTACCACTTGCGACTCTGACCCCATACCAACTAAACTTCTGTTTCAATATCTTGACTTGTTGCTGCCAAGCATTACCAAAATTGTCAACTCAAGTTTGGAGAGTAGTGTATTTCCATCCAGATTCAAACATGCTGTAGTCAAACCTCTGCTAAAGAAACCTGATCTTGACTCTCAGAATCTTCAGAACTTTCGACCTGTCTCAAATTTATCCTTCATTTCCAAGATAATTGAGAAGGCCGTGCATGTCGAACTCAAAGACCATCTCTCTAAACATCTTCTGCTTGATGAATTCCAGTCAGCGTATCGGCAATACTATAGTACGGAGACTGCCTTACTGCAAGTGACGAATGAGCTTCGTTGTGCTGTCGACGATGGTAGGATTGCTGCTCTAGTGTTGTTGGACCTCTCTGCAGCCTTCGACACAATCGATCACCATAGACTCTTGTCCAGGCTCACACAACAGTACGGACTTGAAGGTCATGCCCTTCAATGGGTGACGTCTTATCTGTCTGACCGACAGCAATCTGTTGTTGTTGGCACTGAGAGATCAAAAGGCACTGTTATCACATGTGGGGTGCCACAGGGATCAGTCCTTGGTCCAGTCTTGTTTGTGTTGTATACCGGATATGTCGGAAGGATAACTACAGACCACACAGTTTCTCATCATGCCTACGCTGATGACACCCAGCTCCTGAAAGCATTTCATCTGTCAGATCTATCTACGTCTCTTCAGTGCATCGCTGAATGTACGCAGGACATCAAGTGCTGGATGACAGGAAACATGCTTAAACTTAATGACGCAAAAAACAGAAGCAGTTCTCATTGGTACAAAGCAACAACTCAGCAAGGTCAAAACCTACACCCTTACAGTCGCAGACTCTGACGTCAGATTCTCTGATGCGGTTAAGGACTTGGGTGTCCACATCGACTCTTCCTTGACTCTGGATGCTCATGTTAACCGTCTGAGCAGGACCTGCTACTTTCACCTAAGATCCATTGGTAACATTCGGCAATACCTGACAACTGCTGCAACTCAAGCCCTTGTTCGAGCTCTTGTTACATCTAGGCTTGATTACTGTAACAGCATCCTTTCGGGCCTCAGTTCTAAACTCCTTGATAAGCTTCAGAAGATCCAAAATACTTCCGCCCGCATCATCAGCAAGACTTCTAAACGTTCCCATATAACACCAGTGTTGAAAGAACTGCATTGGCTACCAGTTAGGGCCAGAATTGACTTTAAGATCCTCTGTCTGACGTACAAGTGCCTCCATGGTTTGGCTCCCCCCTACTTGTCTGAACTCCTACATCCGTATGTCCCCGCACGCAACTTGCGCTCAAACACACAAAACCGACTGGTCATCCCATCCTACAAACTGAAATCCTTCGGACACCGATCGTTCTCTTACTCCGCGCCTGTGCTCTGGAACTCTCTCCCATGTGCCCTTAAAAGCTCTGCCACAATTGACATTTTTTAAGTCCAGACTTAAAACCCACCTTTTCTCAGTATACTATGTATAACTTCATCTGTAAATACTCCAGTGTAAATATTCTGTAGCGCTTTGAGCATGCCTTAGGGTGTGGAAGGGGCGCATTATAAATATGCATTTATTATTATTATTATTGTGTCTTAAACAACAGAATCTTGAATTCTTATATTTCCCGACTAACTCCACAAGGGCGATAAATATGACGTCACAATTCTGCACGGTTTCTGTTCGACTATGTGACCACAATAAATAATTAGTAATTCGTGTTGACAGTTATATGAAGTATACTGTATGTCACTTGAAACGCTATCATACAGGCATGTAACGATACAATTGGACACGTTACTTCCAGGACGAGTGGAACCTGTACGGCGCTCACCCCACCTACATGAACGTGGAGGACGACGGTAGTGCCCACATGGTCTTCCTCAAGAACAGCAACGCCATGGGTGAGAAGCCTACGTTTTCGCTGAATGATAGAAACAAATACGACCTTCTTAGTGTCAAACACCATTGGAGATCGGACTGAAAAGATTGCTATTCCGTAACTATCAAACACCAAAGTACCCTCTGATATCAAAAGCAAAACTACCCTCCGGACAGAAACACGTATGAGGGGAGGTCAAAACGTTTTGAGAACTTATTATAATATACAATTAGCAGTCAGAGCAGATTTCGAGCTTTTATTTTGCACTATAGTCTCTCTTCAGTTCAATACAATTTGCTCATTTGTGCTGCAAGCTGGCAATGCCCTGGTCTTTTGACTGGTCCCTAAACCAAGATTCTGTTGCAGCCTTGAGTTCATCATTGGCAAATCGTCTTCCACACAAGTGAGACCTCAAATTTTGAAACAGGTTATAATCACTGGGTGCCAAGTCAGGACTGTACTCGTGGCATTCCGGTATGCCGGGATGGCGTCTCGTACCCCTCTCGTGGCCGTGTTTACGACTGGGCACTGTCTAAGCGCAAACGGGCATGGAGATGAAAATAGTCTAGTACTATTGCCAAGGAAAGATAACTCTGAATTTCCAAACATGGCTCCTAGAATATCCTATATCCCGTGGGCAAAACAGCAATACAGTCATTCCCTTTGTAAATATGTTTCAGTGTTTAAAGTTTCTGATCCTTTAGCTCAAAGGTTTTTTTTAACTTGTGCTTTGCACAGTTTAGCGAAGTTTCAACGGCGCCTCCATTTTCATGCTTCGAAATGCGTTTTACAACGCGCGATTTGATTGGTTTGCCACGATTCTTGGCAATAATGGCGTACGATGGGGGTACGAGTCTTCTTGTAGGTCACCGAAAGAGGCGAGTAGTTACGAATGTACTCGTGGATTCTGCTTGTGTTGGCGCCCTCTAGTGTGAGGACATGAAGTACAGCTCTGTACTCAGTTTTAGAATTCTCCGTGATATCACCAGGGTGTCTCTCTTCCAGTTATCACAATATTAATACTGTTTGTTGCGAGGTGTTGAAACTGTCACAGGTATCTCATGAATGATCAATGTATGCAATACTACTAGCGGCATAGCTACTTCACAACTTTAGGCAGTAAGTTCTCAAAACTCTTCATCATCCTCTACCATTCAGCTCAAAAGTGCTCTCTGATATCAAGATACAAGTAGCTAAATGCGTTTTCTGTAATATTTGACTAATTATGAAAAAATATAGAATAAATAAATAAATTAAAAAAAATAACAATAATAATTAAAAAAAATAAAAAATGATAAAATAGAAAAAAGATACAAGTAGCTTCTACTATGAAACATTGTATTTATGAAACATTTGTACTAAGAAAAACAACGCATTCGTCATTACGACAAACACTACAAATTCCTGTGGTAGTACGGAATATTAAAAGGAAATAATAATTTGCCAAATATTTTCTCACACGTGTCGTAAAAGAAGAATATGTACCCCTTATGAGAATTACATCTAATTTTCATAATACTATCAATAGACAACTGATTCAACGTGTGTATGTGCTCACACTATCGACCACAGGTACAACTCCAGCAGGTCGGATGCTGTGTATCAGGTGGCCGTGTTGATCTATTTGTCGTTTAACAGTACATCATCTCAATCACTCGTAAACAGAGGTGTTCCTGCAGCCGTCTCCGCATCCAGCCATCACTTTTAGAACTATCGGCGGCGTCCTCGACTTCTACATCTTCCTCGGCCCATCACCTGGCGAGGCAGTACAACAATACACGGCGGTAACTAGGCCTGAATTGTCTTTTTAATCCGATTACATGGAGCAGTCTAGTGGTTGTCACCCACGGCGTATCTTGCCTTTACTGGTGGAAGTGCTCAACCTGAAAAAAACAGATCGAATCCTAAAATTGATCAAATGTGTGATTCCAATTCCGAATATTGTATTTGAAGTGAGTGAGTGAGTTTAGATTTGCGCCGCACACAGGAGTATTCCAGCTTTATGGCGGCGGTCTGTAAATATTCGAGTCTTGACCAGACAATCCACTGAACAAGAGCATGAGCATCGATTTACGCAATTGGGATGCAATGACATGTGTCAACCAAGTCAGCGAGTCTGATCCCCCGATCCCGTTAGTCGCCTCTTGCGACAAGCATGGGTTACTGAAGATCAAATCTAACCCGGGTCTCTAACAATGTGTGAAGCCCATTTATGGTGTCCTCTGTCGTGATATTGCTGGAATGTTGCTAAAAGCGGTGTAAAACTGACCTCACTCACTTACTCACTCACCCATAGCAGTGTGATGCCAAACGTATGTTCAGTGTATGACGAGGCTGCATGCATACACACGAGTGTTTCATTGTACATAACTGTTTGTTTCGCTTTACGATATGTTGTTTCCTTGTCCACAGGCTGTGGGTAGGCCTGTTATGCCGCCTTACTGGACGCTAGGCTTCCACCTCTGCCGCTGGGGCTACACCAACATCACCGACCTGAGGATGGTCATCGACCGGAACAGGGAAGCCGGGATACCATATGTGAGTGATGATAGCGACACCGGTGATAACAACAACGATGATAAACGCAGTAATATAAAAATGATGGAAATAGCGTTGATGTTTTTATTGACGAAGGCAACGACGATTATCATTAATAGATTCGTGATAGGGAAGCTACCAATAATGTGGCTGTTAATAAATAGTCACGAATACGGCGTAAAACAATAATTAGGATGACGACGATATTGTGACGTAAAAAGCTGTTGAAGTGTGTTTGTTTGTTTGTTTGTTGCTTAACACCATACTCAGCAATATGCCAGCTATATGGCGGTTGTCTGTAAATAATCGCGTCTGGAGACAATTCAGTGATCAACAGCATGAGAGTCGATTGACCCAATTGGGATACGATGACATGTGTTAACGAAGTCAGCGAGCCTGACCTCCCGATTCCGTTAGTCGAATCTTACGACAAGCATGAGTTGCTTAAAGCTTACATACAACGCAAAACACAACTTTGCAGATTCTGATACTTTTCGGTATGGACTTACAGTAACAAATTATCAAAAATGCAAATTCAAATTATAAAGTTGAAAACTAACGCGATGAAAAACCCCTGTTAAATCGGAGTTCAAACGATTTACTAAAATCACCCCAGCTGGGCTGAAAAGTGGTTTCAACAGCTGTGCTGCGCTGCGCTTATAGCGCATGCGCATGCGCAGTAAATAGGTTCGCGCAACTTGAAGCTGGATGCCCGGATTATAAGGTCGTGAGCAGGAGTAGTCTAATCTTGGTTGTGTCCACAAACAACAAATAGTAAATAATCGACATTTCAAGACGGAAAACCTTCGCTGGCTGTGAGTACTCGGAGTAGGCTTTGATGTGAGCTATTTTTCTAATGTTTTGACTTTTGTTGATATTTTCGTTTATTTGTTTTTTCATAATCAGCAAAGTATATTATATGTCATGAATAAATGATAAATTGTGTTTTAATCATGTTTCTTTTTCTGGTTGCATCTAAGCTTTAAGATCAATTTTAACTCGGATCTTCACGGGTATAATAATGTGTGTAAAATGACTGATAATAGAATGGATGTCAACGTGAATGGCTAGATATCTGCTCGATCTATATGTTTAAAATCAAGCTTAAACAAGCTGTGTTCCAACAGGACGCTCAGTGGGCTGACCTGGAATACATGTACAAGAAGTTCGTCTTCAGCTACGACCGCGACACCTTCGCCGGACTCCCGGATCTGGTGCAAGACCTTCACGACCACAACCAGAAGTTTGTTGTCATCGTGGTGAGTAGTCGTGTTGCCCTGCTGAGTAGTCGTGTAGCCTTGGTGACTGAAGATTGTATTCTTGTGGAAACACGTGTAACAGTGGTGAGTTAATGTGTCCTAGTGGTCGATAGTCGTGTCGTCGTGGTGAGTAGACGTGTAGCCCTGGTGACTGAAGGTTGTATCCTTGTGGACACACGTGTTACAGTGGTGAGTTAATGTGTCCTAGTGGTCGGTAGTCGTGTCGTCGTGGTGAGTAGACGTGTAGCCTTGGCGACTGAAAGTTGTATCCCTGTGGACGGTAGCCGTGTCGTCGTGGTGAGTAGACGTGTAGCCTTGGTGACTGAAGGTTGTATCCTTGTGGACACACGTGTTACAGTGGTGAGTTAATGTGTCCTAGTGGTCGGTTGTCGTGTAGCCTTGGTGACTGAAGGTTGTATCCTTGTGGACACGCGTGTTACAGTGGTGAGTTAATGTGTCCTAGTGGTCGGTAGACGTGTCGTCGTGGTGAGTAGATGTGTAGCCTTGGTGACTGACGGTTGTATCCTTGTGGACACGCGTGTTACGGTGGTGAGTTAATGTGTCCTAGTGGTCGGTTGTCGTGTAGCCTTGGTGACTGAAGGTTGTATCCTTGTGGACACACGTGTTACAGTGGTGAGTTAATGTGTCCTAGTGGTCGGTTGTCGTGTAGCCTTGGTGACTGAAGGTTGTATCCTTGTGGACACGCGTGTTACAGTGGTGAGTTAATGTGTCCTAGTGGTCGGTAGCCGTGTCGTCGTGGTGAGTAGACGTGTTGCCTTGGTGACTGAAGGTTGTATCCTTGTGGACACACGTGTTACATTGGTGAGTTAATGTGTCCTAATGGTCGGTAGCCGTGTCGTCGTGGTGAGTAGATGTGTTGCCTTGCTGACTTTAGGTTGTATCCTTGTGGACACACGTGTTACAGTGGTGAGTTAATGTGTCCTAGTGGTTGGTAGACGTGTCGTCGTGGTGACTAGACGTGTTGCCTTGGTGACTAAAGGTTGTATCCTTGTGGACACACGTGTTACAGTGGTGAGTTAATGTGTCCTAGTGGTCGGTAGACGTGTCGTCGTGGTGAGTAGACGTGTTGCCTTGGTGACTGAAGGTTGTATCCTTGTGGACAGACGTGTTACAGTGGTGAGTTAATGTGTCCTAGTGGTCGGTAGACGTGTCGTCGTGGTGAGTAGACGTGTTGCCTTGGTGACTGAAGGTTGTATCCTTGTGGACACACGTGTTACAGTGGTGAGTTAATGTGTCCTAGTGGTCGGTAGCCGTGTCGTCGTGGTGAGTAGATGTGTAGCCTTGGTGACTGAAGGTTGTATCCTTGTGGACACACGTGTTACAGTGGTGAGTTAATGTGTCCTAGTGGTCGGTAGACGTGTCGTCGTGGTGAGTAGATGTGTAGCCTTGGTGACTAAAAGTTGTATCCTTGTGGACACACGTGTTACAGTGGTGAGTTAATGTGTCCTAGTGGTCGGTAGCCGTGTCGTCGTGGTGAGTAGATGTGTTGCCTTGGTGACTGAAGTTTGTATCCTTGTGGACACGCGTGTTACAGTGGTGAGTTAATGTGTCCTAGTGGTCGGTAGACGTGTCGTCGTGGTGAGTAGATGTGTAGCCTTGGTGAATGAAGGTTGTATCCTTGTGGACACGCGTGTTACAGTAGTGAGTTAATGTGTCCTATTGGTCGGTAGCCGTGTCGTCGTGGTGAGTAGACGTGTAGCCTTGGTGACTGAAAGTTGTATCCTTGTGGACACACGTGTTACAGTGGTGAGTTAATGTGTCCTAGTGGTCGGTAGCCGTGTCGTCGTGGTGACTAGACGTGTTGCCTTGGTGACTAAAGGTTGTATCTTTGTGGACACACGTGTTACAGTGGTGAGTTAATGTGTCCTAGTGGTCGGTAGCCGTGTCGTCGTGGTGAGTAGACGTGTTGCCTTGGTGACTGAAGGTTGTATCCTTGTGGACAGACGTGTTACAGTGGTGAGTTAATGTGTCCTAGTGGTCGGTAGACGTGTCGTCGTGGTGAGTAGACGTGTTGCCTTGGTGACTGAAGGTTGTATTCTTGTGGCCACACGTGTTACAGTGGTGAGTTAATGTGTCCTAGTGGTCGGTAGACGTGTCGTCGTGGTGAGTAGATGTGTAGCCTTGGTGACTGACGGTTGTATCCTTGTGGACACGCGTGTTACGGTGGTGAGTTAATGTGTCCTAGTGGTCGGTTGTCGTGTAGCCTTGGTGACTGAAGGTTGTATCCTTGTGGACACACGTGTTACAGTGGTGAGTTAATGTGTCCTAGTGGTCGGTTGTCGTGTAGCCTTGGTGACTGAAGGTTGTATCCTTGTGGACACGCGTGTTACAGTGGTGAGTTAATGTGTCCTAGTGGTCGGTAGCCGTGTCGTCGTGGTGAGTAGACGTGTTGCCTTGGTGACTGAAGGTTGTATCCTTGTGGACACACGTGTTACATTGGTGAGTTAATGTGTCCTAATGGTCGGTAGCCGTGTCGTCGTGGTGAGTAGATGTGTTGCCTTGCTGACTTTAGGTTGTATCCTTGTGGACACACGTGTTACAGTGGTGAGTTAATGTGTCCTAGTGGTTGGTAGACGTGTCGTCGTGGTGACTAGACGTGTTGCCTTGGTGACTAAAGGTTGTATCCTTGTGGACACACGTGTTACAGTGGTGAGTTAATGTGTCCTAGTGGTCGGTAGACGTGTCGTCGTGGTGAGTAGACGTGTTGCCTTGGTGACTGAAGGTTGTATCCTTGTGGACAGACGATGTTACAGTGGTGAGTTAATGTGTCCTAGTGGTCGGTAGACGTGTCGTCGTGGTGAGTAGACGTGTTGCCTTGGTGACTGAAGGTTGTATCCTTGTGGACACGTGTTACAGTGGTGAGTTAATGTGTCCTAGTTGTCGGTAGCCGTGTCGTCGTGGTGAGTAGATGTAGCCTTGGTGACTGAAGGTTGTATCCTTGTGGACACACGTGTTACAGTGGTGAGTTAATGTGTCCTAGTGGTCGGTAGACGTGTCGTCGTGGTGAGTAGATGTGTAGCCTTGGTGACTAAAGTTGTATCCTTGTGGACACACGTGTTACAGTGGTGAGTTAATGTGTCCTAGTGGTCGGTAGCCGTGTCGTCGTGGTGAGTAGATGTGTTGCCTTGGTGACTGAAGTTTGTATCCTTGTGGACACGCGTGTTACAGTGGTGAGTTAATGTGTCCTAGTGGTCGGTAGACGTGTCGTCGTGGTGAGTAGATGTGTAGCCTTGGTGAATGAAGGTTGTATCCTTGTGGACACGCGTGTTACAGTAGTGAGTTAATGTGTCCTATTGGTCGGTAGCCGTGTCGTCGTGGTGAGTAGACGTGTAGCCTTGGTGACTGAAAGTTGTATCCTTGTGGACACACGTGTTACAGTGGTGAGTTAATGTGTCCTAGTGGTCGGTAGCCGTGTCGTCGTGGTGACTAGACGTGTTGCCTTGGTGACTAAAGGTTGTATCTTTGTGGACACACGTGTTACAGTGGTGAGTTAATGTGTCCTAGTGGTCGGTAGCCGTGTCGTCGTGGTGAGTAGACGTGTTGCCTTGGTGACTGAAGGTTGTATCCTTGTGGACAGACGTGTTACAGTGGTGAGTTAATGTGTCCTAGTGGTCGGTAGACGTGTCGTCGTGGTGAGTAGACGTGTTGCCTTGGTGACTGAAGGTTGTATTCTTGTGGCCACACGTGTTACAGTGGTGAGTTAATGTCTCCTAGTGGTCGGTAGACGTGTCGTCGTGGTGAGTAGATGTGTAGCCTTGGTGACTGAAGGTTGTATCCTTGTGGACACACGTGTTACAGTGGTGAGTTAATGTGTCCTAGTGGTCGGTAGACGTGTCGTCGTGGTGAGTAGATGTGTTGCCTTGGTGACTGAAAGTTGTATCCTTGTGGACAGACGTGTTACAGTGGTGAGTTAATGTGTCCTAGTGGTCGGTAGACGTGTCGTCGTGGTGAGTAGATGTGTTGCCTTGGTGACTGAGGTTTGTATCCTTGTGGACACGCGTGTTACAGTGGTGAGTTAATGTGTCCTAGTGGTCGGTAGACGTGTCGTCGTGGTGAGTAGATGTGTAGCCTTGGTGACTGAAGGTTGTATCCTTGTGGACACGCGTCTTACGGTGGTGAGTTAATGTGTCCTAGTGGTCGGTAGTCGTGTCGTGTTGGTGAGTAGATGTGTAGCCTTGGTGACTGAAGGTTGTATCCTTGTGGACACACATGTTACAGTGGTGAGTTAATGTGTCCTAGTGGTCGGTAGTCGTGTCATCGTGGTGAGTAGACGTGTTGCCTTGGTGACTGAAGGTTGTATCCTTGTGGACACACGTGTTACAGTGGTGAGGTAATGTGTCCTAGTGGTCGGTAGACGTGTCATCGTGGTGAGTAGACGTGTTGCCTTGGTGACTGAAGGTTGTATCCTTGTGGACAGACGTGTTACAGTGGTGAGTTAATGTGTCCTAGTGGTCGGTAGACGTGTCGTCGTGGTGAGTAGACGTGTTGCCTTGGTGACTGAAGGTTGTATCCTTGTGGACACACGTGTTACAGTGGTGAGTTAATGTGTCCTAGTGGTCGGTAGCCGTGTCGTCGTGGTGAGTAGATGTGTAGTCTTGGTGACTGAAGGTTGTATCCTTGTGGACACACGTGTTACAGTGGTGAGTTGATGTGTCCTAGTGGTCGGTAGACGTGTCGTCGTGGTGAGTAGATGTGTAGCCTTGGTGACTGAAGGTTGTATCCTTGTGGACACGCGTGTTACAGTAGTGAGTTAATGTGTCCTATTGGTCGGTAGCCGTGTCGTCGTGGTGAGTAGATGTGTAGCCTTGGTGACTGAAGGTTGTATCCTTGTGGCCACACGTGTTACAGTGGTGAGTTAATGTGTCCTAGTGGTCGGTAGCCGTGTCGTCGTGGTGAGTAGATGTGTAGCCTTGGTGACTGAAGGTTGTATCCTTGTGGACAGACGTGTTACAGTGGTGAGTTAATGTGTCCTAGTGGTC